CAACTTCCATTGCAAACAATCCTGAGAATTATTTTCTCCTAGCAAATATGTCCATGTGATATATATTTGTCTGCATATATGAAATATTGAACAAAGGCCATGCTCTAAAAAGAAGGCAGAGCCAAAGCAAAATGGATAAATAAATGTATATTAATTGCTAATAAAACAAAGCAATTCAATTGTAAAGTAAAATTGATGCCCATGTACGTATTCATGTACAAACCATTCTGCCACACATACGTTTCTGACTCTTGCATACACAGACAAACAACGCAGACTCATGCACACTGAAAGATTGCCGAAATCTAGACCCAGTCAGGAAGCATAAACCAATTCAAGCTTATTTTGTAATAAATCCCCTTAATTCCAATGGGACTTGAATAGGATCTTGTTAAAATTCTCCCTTGAGCTGAGTAGACTATGTCCATATTATATTCTTGGCAGCAACATTGAGAGCTTTTGCTGCTGGTGTGTTTTTGGCTGAGGAAAGATGTTCTTCCATATAAACCAGAGAAAATTAGAGAAAAGATCCTTGGGATGCCGCATTATTGTTTTTTCTGTTTGCTGCACAAAGGATACAATTCAGTTGGGTCTTTTAGGAAAGCAAACCAAAGAATGTTTACAACAAAGTCCCTCTGGGTTCAGATCAGTACACTGACTAAGACATTAGATTAAGGAAGAACTTAATGATGTAAAAGAATTTATTTTGAAAATGCAATTTTCTGTTCAGAATATGTTGTCTGGTGTGTGGTATATTTGGTTTTGGCTTAACGCAGGAACTCAGCCATTAAGCGTGTAAATCATGGTTTATGTCTTAGCATAAGTGAATTAGGCCACTATGGCTTGTTAAAATTTTACCATAATCTCTGAATCATAATTTTATATACCCTCTTCAAATGCTAATGAAGGTTCTGAAAAATTGAGCTTTCTTCCTTTGAAACATCTTCAGATTGTTCCAGAAGGATAAGAATTCAGCATTGGATACACTAATATTTTGTAGTATACCTTTAGTATTTTTGTAGTGTACAGTAATATAAAGATGGGAAAGGAGTAAAAAAGCTAAGTACTTTTAGGAAAAAGAGCAAACTGTTTGTTTCCCTCTTAGAAATTCTTGAAAGCAGACGCCTAAGAACATTTCACTACAGCATGTCTTCTGGGACTTTGTTTCCAAATTTTGTAAGTTACACATATTGCAATTAAAGTAATGCTGAAAGCAGGTTAAAAAGAGCCCTACTGATGCTCAAAACAGATTCAATGTTATAAATGATCACAGATGTTGTTCCCATCAGGCTAGACATACCACTGGAAAACAAATTCTGGTCAATTTCTAATTTCCACCATTAATACCACTAATTATAGGTTTCTTAGAAAAAGGCCCGAGATTCAGGATTTAGAGAGGAAATCTTGTTCATCATAATCTACTCCTTTCAATTAAGGCCATAACAGTAAAACCAACAGCAGAATTGCTCGACCAAATGATAACATTACAAATTGCTCCTTTTAAACAATTTGCCAGCTGTGAAGGCCAGCCAACTAGCTCTTAGAATGCAATAGAAAATGATAGAAGAGACCTAGCATTTTGGCTACCTTTTATTTTTCTTCTTCTATTGCTGTCATCAAGGCAGTCTTGGTTTTTTTTAATGTATCTTTCAGATGCCCATTTACACATTAATTCTGCTACCATGTCAATTTTATTTCATAAAGTACTTACATAAAAATAAAAGCATAGCAGCTACCTTGAGATTATCTGGTATCTATCAAGATATCTTTAAATCTAAGAGACAAGGGTTTCTAAATGACCGTAATTGTTCAACTATCCCAAATCAATGAGTCTGGAAGTAATGGATTTATAAAACCAAAGCCGTCTTTGAGTATTTAATCTTTTTTCCCCCTTTATTATGCTAAAAAATCTACTAAGAAAAGTAAAGGAATAAATGATGTGTAGAGTTAAAATCAGACTCTCGGGGAGAAGAAATCTAAACCAGCATTAGTTCTCATCCTGAGAGATTAAAAGGATAGTTCATGCTTAGATCCACAAAAATATGTTATGCAGTTCAGATTTGAAAAACTTCCCACTGTACATTTTATGAAGGACTTTAAAAAGATTTAAGTACTATTTGACCTGATAAAGCAGGGGTTCCCAACCAGGGGTGCGAGATGATATTCCAGCGAGTGCAAAAACTTGGGTTTTCAAAATTATAGTGTATATGCAAAATTCGTGGCCATTATTTTGAACTTTTGTAAGGGGTGCAAGAATATATATAGCAGAAGCGTTTTAGGGGTGTGGGGTATAGAAAAAGTTGGGAGCCGCTGTGATAGAGACTCCAGCATCATAAGCAGCATAGTGTATCTCTGCTAATTATTGCGAACTTGATTTCAAGTACTGCAGTCTGCATTTAAAATAGGAATCTGAAAATTGACTCTTCAATGAAACTGTCATAAATATTTTGTTCACTTTGCAATAAGTAGGCTGAAGAATATCGATTCATTATTTGGTACTGATTGATTGGATTTCTTCTAGCCATTTTTAAAAAGTTTTTTTTATAAATGGAACTAATATTTTGCCACAGATAATCACTGCATACATACAATCAAATTGACCAACAGAGATTTTTAATTCCATTAACATCCTTCAAATCCTGAAAATATTTATTCTGCAGTGCCAATATTAATAAAGTAAAACTGCTGTTGAAATAACAAAGCCTATTTTAAATCTTTGCATAAATCCATTTTATTGTAATTCCAGAACAGCAAAAAAAATTATTTGAATTCCAGATATAAAAATGCATTTGCTTAGAAGAGGATCTTTGGGATTAGATGGCAAAAATCTACATCATTAGATGGCAGCCCAACTAACAATTCATAAGGGAGAAGACAAAAATCTATTAATATTCTCTCAATGCATTGTTATAACCAATTGATAAAAAAAATGTGCTTGGAGTTAAATCCCTCACTTGAAAAGGGGATTCCTAATAGGTCTTTTAATCCAAGATTGAAAATTTGTGGTCTTTCATGCTTTCAACTTCTATGACATCAACAATATGGTCAAAGGGTAGAAAAGATGGGAATCAAGCAAATCACATCCCTCCTTGTTATCAACAAACTAGAGACAAACCACTCCAGTCGAGCAACATCCAAAGGGCACAAATTCCCTACCTCTCCTTTAAACAGGTGTTAGATAATTATAACATTTTCTAAGCAAAAAAGCTGATTGTTTTCACACAGGCTCTATCAAAATTTCACACAGGCTCTATCAAAAAACTGTATCAAAATTGAAACTATTTGGACAAACAAAGAACCACAAGAGAAATCTGTTAGCATGTTTTTCCCATTTTATTTCAACCCTGCCATCTATTTTTTGGCAGGATGATCAACTAATTACATATTTTTACAGGTGATCTTTGGGAGAGGCTTAATGGAAAACAGTACTCCATTCAAAATCTCACAATGTACTCTTCAGAGAAGCACATAAAGCCCATTACCTAAATCAAAAGACAGACCAAGATTGTGAGCACAATGGGTGTCTAATGCAGATCCTTTTGCTGTAAACAAAGAGCAGCTGTAATTTTACAATCCATATTTTAATGCCATAAACACACATACATGCCACACAAAAAATGAGTTAACAACATAGCAGTTACTATAAACAATATTATCACACACACACACTGACTAGAGATTGGGTATAAGGGAACACAACCCTTAAGAATGCTCTAAATAATGTATTTCTTTTGACTCATATATACTGTGGTACACTCATATACTGTACAGCTAACATCTACATTTAGAAATAGAAAACAAGTCTATATCAGCCTTCTTCGGTAGAGCATTTAAGGCCTTTCCAAATACAATTAGAAACTCCATTCTTTCAGGAGCACTGAAAGCATTTTATATAACTATAAAAACAGCAAATATCCTGTATTGCAGATCCACTCCTGTCTGTATGTTCTTGGAAGGAAGCCCTTCTGAATTCAACAGAGCTTACTGCTTAATAGATGTATATAGGATTGCACTGTATTACATATGCTCTTATTCCATACATCCCTTTAAAACAAGTACTGGGGTAACTGTGAGACCATGTGGGTCTAACAGCAACCAAAGAAAGGGTCAGATGTTTTACACACAACAGTGGGAAGCAATCTACTTCTGGATCCAAATGAGCTTGACAAAATATAAAAGAGAGAGCATCTGTCTTTCCACAGAATGCATGGGGTGGTGAGGAGCTTTCTATCTTGGCAATGAGCACATCCAGGCCAAATGGTTGTATTTTCCATTCCTCTGCATGTCATTAACATGTATAGTGACATAATCTCACACAATTTTCTGTGGCTGTGACACAATAATCCTGACCTCCAAGATACCAATAACAATGCTTGTTTAAAGATCCTAGAAAGAGCTAGCCACCTATCTACTTTCTTTATGTGTGTGTGTGTGTGTGTGTGTGTCATATATTACATATATATCTAACATTCTTTTTCAGTGTATAAGGAAATCAAAACAAAAGCATCATTGCAGCATTGATGTTTTTCCAACTACACCCAACTTCCAGATGCTCCTCAAGGTTATCTTCAAAAAACAGAGTTTTCATATTTATCCATACATGCAAATTATAGAAGAAATCACACTGTGGTTCTATCCTAAACACACATGTCATTCTTGTTTAGAAAAGATATGAGTGCCAAGGAGGCTTTAAATCTGATTCCTACATTGTGCACGTATTCAGCGTTAACCTCATGTTTTAGCACTAGGACTCTATGTGGTAACATTATTGTAGTTATCATATTACCTAAAGAGGAAAAACAATGATCTGTACTGCCATAAATCTAGATTACATAGAAATATTTCACGAAAGTTCATTGAAGAATATAAACCTAGAATGCAGTAGCCTCTGGGACCAATTCCTTCTGCAGTTTCTGCCTGTCCCAAACTAATGCCAGCTCATTTGAAAGGAAAGACACTCTCTGGAAAATTAAAAGATCTAGACACACCCCCCCCCTTACCTGGGAGAAGTTCAGCCCATTCAGAGGGTGACATTGCTCTTCTACTCTCTCCACAGCTCCTGTGCCTTTCTTCATCCTTTCAGCCTCTTGAGCCAGGTAGAGGTCCAGCACCGGCACTCCCCGGGAACGGATGTCTGTCTCAGTCAAGGAATTGACCATCAGCATCACCCAAACAGGTCTTTTGCGTTCCCAGTTTCCAGCAATGGCATTGAAAAGGTAATCAGCGTAAAGGCCTTTGCCCCTTTGATCCGGACTCATCCAGTGAGGCAGCATCAATCTGACATACTCAAGATGGCGTTTGAGGCGATGGTAAAGATCCTGGGGAAGCACATTCTGCAAATTCTCTCCATGAGGAAGCAACTGACAGTTGGCCAGGCCTGATATTGTGGAAGGGTTTGTGAGATCCAATTCGAAGTACACATTGGAGCTGGCTTGAAAAGCGGCTTTGGAGTTCTCGGGAACAAAATCCCACACCCGTGTATAAGGCACATGGATGGTGCCAAATAAGTAGGCGGGAGGATCTCTCCGGATTGTCCAGAGGAAAGAGTTCAGGTCTCTTTGCTAAGCAAAAGAAATCAGAAAGGAAACTAATCAGCATTAGGGACAGTGCTGTGATCAAGATATTTAAGGCCAACAAATATGTGGGGGGGAATAGTCAATGACGCAGAAAGGAAATGCAGGTCTACACTGTGGTTGTCACCTAATCTGTAATAAGTTTGCAAAAATGTTTGAAGGCTATTGTTTCACATAATAACCTCTCTGATACTAACTTAAACAGATATTGAAGTGCACATACATAGAACAATTCTACTGAATTCAATAAACATGATTCTAACAACTGCAGAGAAAGATACAGAGTTAGGTCACTTCACTGACATATTATGCCTTAACACTTAAGTGACTGTCCTTTGAGGTGAAAAGAGCTATAACAACAGAATAGGTTATTGTTCTTGGTGCTCGCTGAGCTTGCCCTGATGATGTTACCTAGTTTGGGTAATGAAACATCTGCAAGAAAACAACCAAGCTCAGAGAGCACCAAGGACCCCTCATTTCAACCCTGAGCCACAAATATTTTCCTTTATAGGTTACTGTACTTGTATGGAACCACAGAAATACATTAATACAAGCAAGAATTTGTTCATTGTTACATATGTACATTTTGGACAGAACATACACATTAGACACATATATAAAGCTGCACTCAGTGGTACAAGTTTGTTGTCTTTAATTATCCAAGCAGGCACCATCCTTAAGATCAGCTATTGGATCATTTATTGTTGTATTTGATCAGGCCAGAAATATATACTTAAGAGATACCTTGTAATATTTTTTTTAATCCAATCTGCCTGGGCTCACTATGCAGAGAAATTCTGTAAATCCTTAACCAATTGTCCTAGAGAGCCATAATTTGTCAGTAATACATACTAATTTTATGCCACCTGTAATCCTGTCAGAAGCTAGTCTTTTGATCCTAAATTGGAAGCAAGTGTGTAATTCCACTGGCTTTCATATGACCTTAAGCAGCAGATGATGCAGGTAATCCACAATGCTTCTAAAGGTCACGACAATTTTCAACACAATCCATTCACATGAGATTTTGCACCGAGATGCCCCATTTCCTCCAGGATCTCAAAACATGGTTATCTACCTCTCCAGCCTAGCCTAAATGCACCTCTGGGGTAGCTTAAGCTGAGGGACTACAGTACAGGTGGCCCAAATCTTCTAATGAAGGACATTGCTGGGTGAAGACAGGTCCTAGTTTGGCACTATAACTTATTTAAAAGAGCTGCAGTTTCAGAACAGTGAATAGGTGGTATTATGCGGTAAATGATGCTACATTTATTTTACTAAACTATACATCGCCTGTGAAAACCCTGTTTAAATAAAAACAAATTACGACTTTTATGGAAAAGTTGACCGAAGGACCCTAAGAGTTATTAGCTTTGCTTCTGCTGAATAAGAGAAGCCGCACACATATATATATAATCTACTATATTAGCTACAGTATCTGGGGATAGCCTAAACTTTTTCAGAAGATGCCTGAAAAAAGATGGGAAAGGTTCCAGGGCTTGGCAAGCAGCGGCAGTTAGCTATCTGGTGCTAAAAATCTACGACTTGACTACAGGATTGCTACCGTTTACCGGTTGAGCAGCCCTGTGTGCTCGATGCTATATATATATATATATAAGGGGCAGAAGCGGAAGTCCGTCTTCTTGTCAAGTTGACCATTTACGTTCACTCTTTCCAGCCTTCTCGGGCCAACGGCAGCGCTCTCCAAAGAGCCCAGCCAGGCCACCTGAGACGGGATGCTGGAGATGCCAGCGCGGCCAGGACCACCACCCAGACCTTAAGGGCCCAACCGCAAGGCCAAGCTTTGGGGCTCCTGGGAAGGAAGCGCCTGGCTGACGAGGTGCTCTTCGGGGATCATCCCAGGAGATCCCAAGAGATTTCCGCACGTGGCGCTGCCCAAGAGGATCTACTTGCTTGGAATCCCCGCCACCCACACCTCCTCCACCGCGTGCGCCTCTCCTCTCTCTCCCTCCCTCGCCCAGCTCACCGATCGGGGCAGCTCACATCGCCTTGGGTCCATTGGCTGCCGCCTCCTGGGCTCGGGTCGAGCCGTCGCCGGCTGGGCCCCCCCGAGCACAGCAAGGCATAGCAGCGCCAGGTGGAGCTGCATCCTCTTCCTCCCCGGGGACCCGCTTTGCCGGCTGCCTTTAAAAGTAACTCTTCGCCGGTCGGATTGCCTCGGGTGTCTCGATCCCAGCCGGCTAAAGTCCCGTCCGCATCTGACAAGTGCAAAAAAGCGAGAGTTCGCATCCGCTGCCCTGGTTGGCGGGACAGTGAGGGAGGGGAGGGGGGCAGGGGCCGTGTTAAATGGTCCCCCAAGGATGGTTCGCGGACCCTCGGCGGGACTGATCCCGAGCCTCCGCCATGCTCGAGGGAGGGGGGGGGGGCGAATGCAACTCTTCGGAGGAGAATCGTTTTATGCTGGCCGAGAGTTACTGAGGGTTTGCCCCGTCTTCTATTTTTTGCCTTGGCGTATACAAGGAAAGAGGTGGGAAAATAAAGTGATTTCTCTCTGCCCCCCTTTCCCTGAGAAGAGGGGGGGGAGAGGCGGCGGAGGTAGCGGGGATCCTAGTTTTGCGATGGCGATAGATGTAGGGAAATGCTATTTGAACAGGCACGGGAAGGCGGGCACTACTGTGGATGTCATCATGTCGGTTTCACACACGCACGCTCACACAGCTAGGAAAAGCCAGGAGGCGGGGGGGGGGCGAACCACCACACTCTCATCACTTTACCGCGACTTCCAAAACTTTTCCAAACTTTTTCTTTTCCATCCCGCGTGTGAAAGGCAAGCAAGAAACAGCTGCCGCCGCCAGAGGGCGCCTGGCTCACAAACAAAGCTCGGCGGGCTCCCAAAAGAAGGGGGGGGGGAATCTTTCTCCCTCCCCCATAAAAAAAAAAAGACAGAGAGAAAGGAAGGAAGGAAGGAAGGAAGGAAGGAAGGAAGGAAGGAAGGAAGAGGGGAGGGGACAACATTGGAGGGACGAACGATCAAAGTACAAATTCAAACATTTCCTTGTCTCAAAGGCATCTTCTCTTTTCTGAAAAGCTATTGTATAGACAGCAATTCCTTCTTTTGTTTTACTGTTCCGAAGAAGAACTCCTGTGTTTTTCCTGACAAAATTCCAATCCGGGAAAGGAAGGCCAAGAGAACTTCCAAGCCTTAGGCGCGATCCCTGATAACTCCTCCAGCCTTCACAACATAGCCTAGCTGTCAGTCTGTGGAATGGTATTCAAACACATCTGCAGGACATCACATTGGCATATGCTAGAAAGCGGGAGGGGGGGTGAGAGGAGATTCTATCAAAGCATTCCGAGTCAGGCATGGTTCAGAACAACAGGCTTGTGGTTCCAGGTTTGGGATGAAACAAACTTTGGGATGGGGGTGGGGAGTGAGACAAGGCTGATGTGCATTCTCTCTAATTTCCTCTCCCCCACCCCCTATCTCCCACCATGGCATACCTCAGTAGCCCAGCTGTTCCCAACTTCCAGGCACCTTATTTTCCATGCCTTTTGTGGCCTTTTTCTCCCCTCTTCCTTCATGGACTACTGTGTACAAGATGTATGTGTATGTATGTATGAAATATAAATGTGTGTGTGTGTCTGTGTTGGACACAAGATCATGCAAAACTAATTCCATATTCAGTGCACTGGATGTTTTGCACATACCCAGTCTAACCTGTGTTCTGTACAAATATGGATTCCACAGTGAAAATTACTAGTCAGTGTAATGCTGGTGTACTTCTCATTTGTCAAGGTTGCTCCAGGATCCTAAAGAACATAAATAGGATCTTTCCAGCACAATGTTCCTTCAGAATGCAAACAAATGGATCCCTTCTGCAGGTGGAGATCCAGCATGTCAGGGATAAGTCTAGTCTGGAGCCTTTCATTTTGTTATAATTACAGTGTTGATATCTGGGAATGTGTAGGCTGGATTAATGAAGGCTTGACGTTCTGAAAACAATCCAGATTATTTTCCTTGGATCCTTTTTTTACTTTCCAGAGAAGAAAGCAATATCAGAGAGTACTATATAAAGAAAAATGAAAGTCAAAAATTCAAAGACTTATCAAAGACATTCCACAGATGAGAGGTGTAAAAAGACATTGTCACGGAATTCTGCAGTTGTGTCTCTAATCATTACTGTCTAGGGAAACAATTGTAGAATGTGTGGCCATGCTATTTAATCATTAATATCAGTGTGCTTTTAAAATGTTAAGTAATGATAGATAGCCTTGCAAATTTAGCTCATCTATTATTGGAGGTTATACCATTAGTATTTGCCTGTTCTGTTTGCTTCCCTTTTCATCTCTTGGACATTGTCTCCTTTAATTTGTAATGGATTTGCTGACTAGAAAGTATGAGAATGTACTTCCACATGTCTGGAATGCACTGATACAGCATGTGGAAAGCTATGCTAAACAGGTTAGTTAACATACTTTCAGTGTGACTGTTGTTAATTTTCATTAGCATCTCTGGGTTAATTAAAGACACTTACCTGGAATTCTCCTACTGAAGTGCAAACTAGAACAATATTATTAACAAAATGTGTAATATATATCACCCTTTCAAATGCCTATACAATGCTCAAAGCATTTTACAATAATTTCTAACTGCAATATATTATTAATATTGAGAGAAATACAGCCATGTAGATTTGAGGATTAATCCTTAAATTAAAGATTAGATGACTCACAACTTTTGTTTGCAGATCCATTATCCACCCTTAAAAGTCTTCTTCAGGCAGAAAATCTCTAGGAACACCTTTCAGGAAGAGGTCAGTTATTATCAGCTTTCAGAACTGACAGCTGCCTTTCACCTAGAAGCACAGACATGGAGAAATTCCATATAGGTTTCTTTGTAGATCGGGATTCATAATTACACTCTATAGCCAGAGGCATCTGTAGAAATGTCAAAAAATTCAAGAGGTGACCGCAGTTGTGCAGTCAACGGCCTGCTTCTTTTATATTCACCATACATCAAACAGACTTAAAAAGAGACAGAACTTCAATTTCACAGTCAATTTCTGGTTATACCAACTAGTTTAAAATTTAGTTGATTCATAAGAAATAAACCAGATGAGCTATTAACATGTTATATATTTCAAACACAGTAAATGGATTTGTTTGGCATGACCCGTAGATGAGTATTCATTTATACAGAATTGGCTCTCCTTTATTTAGAAATGATGTTACATATGTTCTAATTTTTAAAATAAAAATGGGCTAATATCTAGGCAATATGCTTCTCACCCTTACCATGACATCTTGTGTAAAAATTGATGACTTATGCAATATTTATTTCTATCAATTATTTATAATAAATTAATGTCCAGAATTGGCAACGTATATGTAAAACTTAAATTACATTTCCATCTATCAGAATAGAGCTGGAAGGGACTTTGGAGGTCTTCTAGTCCAGCCCACACAAACAATCTGCAAAATGCAGATGATTCAGAAGCAGCAATACAGCTCAGATATGAATTGAAGGCAGTGAGATCTTTCTCTTTTTCACCCCTATGGATGTGTCTTTTTCAATCTTGGGTCCTCTACCAGAAGCCTGGGAGTTTGAGATTCTGCATACTTACTTATTTACTTACATACTTACTTAATATATTTGCTGCCCATCTCAATCACAAGGTGACTTTGGGCTATCTTAGCTGTTCCTAGCACTGTACTCTTCTGGACAGACAGCTCTGATGTTGCTCCTGGGATCTGTGGAAGCCACTCTCCCAGCTTAATAGTCACAGCCTTGAATGCTCCTACTACCACTGAGAACACTTTGACCTTTACTTTCCATATCCTCTCTAGTTTCTCCTTCAATCCCTGGTATTTCTCTAGCTTCTCTACTCCTTCTTGCTGCTGTTGCTGTCACTTGGTGCTGCTACAGTTACCACTACCTTCTGATCCTTATCTGTTACCCACCTGATCTTAGCCCAGTTATTCTTCACAATCTTCTATGGAATGTCTATGGAGATTCTCAGTCATCCAGGTCATGGTTGTCCCAAAGATGCTTTTCTCCCATAGAAGAACAAATCCATCAGGACAAGATTCAGCAGTCCATCTGCCGTTAAAAGACAAAGGCCATTCTTTCGAAGATAGCGAAGTCCACATTTTGGACAGAGAGGACCACTAGTTTGAAAGAGGGATCAAAGAGGCCATCTATGTCAAAGCAAACAGCCCTCTCTCAATAGAGGGAGAGGGATATGACATCATCTATCTCCAGTCTACAACACAGTCCTTTCAACAATTTCAAGAAGGCTCCACACCCATTTCCACTACTCAGGTGACCCTGATGATACAGATAAACCTCCAGGTGGCATCAACGACTCTATAAAAGAATGCAAATGACCAGCTGTCTGCAAGGAATATAAATCCCACCATCCAGTCAGAGCTGATGAAGCTTCTTGGATGAGAAGTGAAATGTCTTCAAAGAAAAACAAGAAAGCCCAGTTGCCTTGTGAAAAAAGCACCTTTGGGATGTCTTCTATGGAATCTTAATCTGGACTTGAGAGAGTCTAATTATAGACTTTGCAGATGTTCCTGTACACCAAGTACCTAGTGGTTGTGCTGTTCAGGATATGCTGTTCCTGATTGCATCTTGCACCCTATCGCTATTGTTGCACTGTCTCTGAGGCCTCTCTGCACTGTCTGCACCTCAGGTCCTATCTAGTGTGGTAGACACCGTTTCGATGGACCTTGAGATTAGTGCCTTTTCTTCTTCTATAATTAGTAGCTCTGTGCTATCCTTTGATCCAAGTCTTTCCAGTCATTGGTAGGATTTCCTAATGTCTGACACAGAGGAAATTTATAAGCTAAGGAGACTAGGAAGAAGAAAATCCTGCTGATGATGTTACCTAGTTTGGTAACGAAACATTATATTAAAGCAAGCTTGAAGAACAAAACCACAGCCAAAATACATTGGGTGTTTCTAGGTATGGGAGACCAGAAAAGGTGACCATTGAAGTATCATTACATGATAACATTCTTGTACTCAAAGAAGTAATTGCAGATACCAATTCT